TAGCGATAAGGTTTTAATTTTTTTTTTGCAATATTGAAATTTATATATTATTTTTTTTGCAATATCGAAATTACATTTCAGCTTGATAGAGATTTTTCTACGCGATAGCAATATATCTCGGTTTTTGACTTTTGGAGAGCAGATATTGTCCGCCTTTGTTTCTAGGACTTATTTGTTTAATGACGCGTGGGTTTGATTGAACATTATCAACCTCCGCCAGTCATGCATGCCACGTTAACTATAAAATTCATGTCAACGCTCGCTCTCGTTGCCCGATCAATATCCGTTGCGAAGCGGTTTTCTCGTGTGCGCCTGCCGCTGTTTCGTTAAACAAATAATTCGTGAAAAAATTAAACTGCGAGACAAAACTTGCATAGAAAACGTTGAACGATGAAGAGCGATAAGAGAGTCGTCGTTCAAGTTATCACGTATGAGAATATCAGGCATGGATAAAATCAGGAAGAAGCGATTAATCTCATCATGATTGTAAGAAGCCAAAGAAATTAATTAATGGAAAATGAGTACCTGAAAGCTTTGTTGAAAAATATATAAGAAAATACCAAGAACAATGACAGTTTCTAAACTGTTTCCGATTGTCTTCGAAAATCTGAAAGTGAAAATTTTCCAAGTATGTTGTTCAACTAACAATATAAAATTTTACAACGTTCGAAGAATTTCGAAGCAGCGCTACTTTTTTCCTTTTATAAGAATCTTGTCTTAAAAATTCAGTTTTCATCTCCGAAGAAAGTAGGAATAGTTTCTTCTAGAAGAATGTCAGCTCATTCTCTTCACTGATTATGAGATTCCGGCTGAATCTATGCGACAAGACGAATTCGATCACGAAACTGTTCCAGTTTTCCAAGGCGGTATCCTCAGCTTTGATTCTCCTCGAGGAACTGACCGTAAGGACAAAGACCTTCGAGGCATGGCAACAAATACGCAGCGGAGTTCCGTTTAAAGCACGACCGTGCATACATCTTGGACAATATGTGCTCGTATGGTTATGTGTGTTATTTTCAATATACAAGAATCGATTCTGACTTGTTACTCTAACCAAGTCACGGAAGTTTTATTAAGGATACCATTTTCATTCATATTTTCACTATCCCAAGAATCAATCTATTGATTTTTTATCTGATTTATCCGAACAATAAGGCACTCCTGATAAACCAAGAGCTGAATCAAGTGAGTTTCTTTCATCCGTGTCATCCATTTCTCAAAACCGGAATTATTTAAAAAGTCACAGTAACAAAGCCATATAACGAAGGACGTGATTTTAGAACTTGTGTAGAAATGATTATGGTTCTCAAGATGATTCTCAAGGAGTATTCTCGCAACGTCCATGCGGTCGATCCGTTCGTTGTCTAGGAATGTTTGGCAGGAAATTTCCATTCCGGCGGTTCGATCGGGTCGGAATGAAATGGTCGGGGCCCCGACATCGTCCCGACACGAGTCTGTCCGGCGTTAAAGGCCACGGGAAGAGCCGACGAGTATCGAAGATGGCCGAGGTGCCGTGCGCCGTGCCACGAGCTACCCTCGGCAGCAGCTCGCGGCTGGCTATGGCTATTGACCGAGCTTGGCGGACCGGCCGGTCAGCTGTGCGCCTCGTCGCCGGTGTGGTATTCACCTCCACGGTTAGGAAGAAGTCGTCCACGTAGACGAGGCGGTGTCATTGGATCGACGCGAATCAGCGGCGAGGAATCGGAACAAACGAATCGTTCAGACGGATCGAAAGTGAATCAAGGGACACTTTTCCAGGAGAAGATTTTGGCGTCTATTTCGGTGACGGTGATGCTTGAAGATCGGTCACTTTGAGTGAAACAAATGTATCGACAACGGAGAGTCGCGAGTGGAGATTGAGAAAAAACTGTTTAGTCCCGTCATTATCGTCGGTAAATCAGTGATTCGAGTGAAAGCTCAAAACGTGCGATTTGGTCGCAATACGCGCCGCGGAAGATAAAGAGTGGTCGGGAGTAGGAGAGTAAGCCAGACGGAGCGGGAGTTAAAGAGGGCTAGAGAGAGAGAAAGAGAGAGAGAGGAGGGAGAGAGAGAGAAAGATAGACAGAGAGAGGGAGGGACTTGGCTTACGAGCATCATTCGACATATAGAGCCCAACCGGCTGTACATGGAGACGATCGCGCGAGAGAGAATTCGAAAGAGAATAAGAGAAGGACTGATTTGAAGAGAGACGGCGAACAAATTGGTGGAAGGAGACGGGAGAGAAAGAGAGAAAAGGAGGGAGGGGGAGGGAGGGGGAGAGAGAGAGAGAGAGAGAGAGAGAGAGAGAGAGAGAGAGAGAGAGAGAGAGAGAGAGAGAGAGAGAGAGAGAGAGAAAGAAAGAAAGAGAGAGAGAGAGAGGGAGAGAATGAGTGAAAAAGAGAGGGGAAGAGGGAAAAGAGAAAAGAGGATACTGTGAAAAGGAAAGATCAGGAGGCGAACATCGCGGCACCGACAAGAAAACACCTACGTGGACGGCTTTACCGGGTGGAAGCTGGCTTGTCGGCATTGTGAAGAGGAGGCAGCAAGATTGTCTGCCACCGAAGTCTACCTTGCCGGCTGAGAAAGAAAGGAAGCGAAAGAGAGAAGAAGATAGAACGAGTAAGGTATGGCTCGCTATATACATGGATTCCGACTTCGCCGCCGCCGCTGCTACTACCATTGACTCGCAGTCGGTAAAATGTTGGGACGACGGCAGCGGTGATCCGGCGAGACACGGGTGTTCGCGAATGAGCGCAGCTGCAGCTGTGGCAGTCGCGGCCTTCTGGTGGACGTGATAAGGACGCGAATGGTGCGATCTGTTTCGGCAAGCAAAGTGGTTGGACCGTGTGCAAAGCGCTAAAAGGATCTGCGAAAGAAAAAAAGAAAAGAAAGAAGGAAGGAAGCGAACAATTGATTAGACCAAAAACCAGCGACAAGACATTACAGTTCCTCGATCAAAAGTTTGATATTATGTCTGGTGCTATGGTGCTTTTAATCGTACTGGTAGCTTACTTAGAAGACTGAAAGAAATTCAAGAGATACGAAGCAAGGAACGAGGAAAAGGTAACTCACAAAGAAGAAAGCAACACAGTAGCGAGGGAGACACTTGAGTCCTTGATCAGCACTTGAGTGGGTTTAATCACGATCGACGGTGTGGAGAAGATAGTAGGAAGGCCAAAAGGAAGAAAGGAAGTAGCGGAGTGTCCTTGATCGGCTATCCGGCGCTACGTGATCAAGCTGCATCGCGACCGACATTGGTTCGGCTCTGTCACATCGGGGGAGATTAGAGGCGACCCACGTTTCACTCGCTTCGTTCGGCGATCAACGCGACGAAGCGACGACGAGTAAAGGAGACAGCGGGCGGCGGGAGGACAGAGGAGAGGATCTACTTGCTGATCAGCGCGAACCCGGGCGATAAGCGGAGCCCCCATCTCGAGTTGACGAGCTGCTGACTCGACGGACACGGGAGCCGGTTGTTTCAACGCTTATTAGCGCCCGCGATGACTCCAATTATTCGCGAGTGACTTCCACGTTCGCGCGACGATTGTTCGCGACGACTCCACCAATCGCCTGGTTGGACTCGATACCACCCGGTACGTTGTGCCAGTTTATTCAACGGCAATGAAAACACATCAACAACACCCGAAGAATTTGTTCTCTCACGAGTGGACGGTGATGAACCACGTTGAGGTGATAATTGATCGGAAATTGGCAATCGAACGCGTCGAAAAATATCTTTTTCGCATGATTGAACGCGTTACAGATTCATCTGGAGTCTCGGCATGATCTACTATTATTAATTGCTCCGAGTGTAAGCCGGAAGCTGTTGTTTCGATGTAATATGTCCAGGACGATTTTGAATAATTCCGGATGATCGGCCTGTCTCTTGGAGTTCAATTCAGGATTACTCTCGATCACGCTCGATAAGCCACGAGGATTTCTATACGTTTGCGCGCTCGCGCGGAGCTCTACGCTTGAAAATCGCTCGGTGTCGTTGCTTGACAAAACCGGTTTCGTTCGGCTCGGCGAATCTCGGCGTTTATACAAAGGTCGTGTGTGAGAGCGCGCAGCGCGCGCGACCGCGAGAGAGTGGTAGGAGTGAGATTTATGGAAAACGAATTTACACGAGGTCACACCCACGGGAGCGGCTGTCTATCTCTCTTTCTCTCTTTTACTGTATCTCTCTCTCATGCATACACACACATACACAAACACACACACGCAAACGCACACACGCACACACACACATACAAATAACCACACACACGCGCGCGTCCATCTCCTTATAACATATTCTCTCTCTCCCTCTGTTCATCTATCAGTCTATACATCCACGTTCCTTCTATTAATAATAACGACAAAAGCAGTGCGATCGTGAGAATCGCAGGGCCACATTGAGATTCTTGAAGAATCAAAATTTCGATCGTGAAAGAGCGATTCTAATATGAAACAGATAAATTTGTCATATTGGTGGCAATCTACAAGTATCTCTCAAGATTTATAATCGCTGTGTTGAAGATCAGCGAAATCGTTCATCGACCAATTAACCATCAGAAAGTTACATAGAACCGCTAATCATGCTAGCAACCTTGAAGATTCAAGTATTTTCGACATTTGAGTGCTGTGATAAACCAAGCGTGTAATTATTGAAGCATCCTGAGGACGTGAAAGAATGTCGGGGGACCTGGGTGGCCCGCGGGAAGAGCAAGACTCGTCGCCTGGGTCGAATAGCAACGCGTCAGCCGCTAGAACGTCGACATCGCCGAGAAAGACCTAGCCGTTTCGTCATTTACTTGATGATTGGCCGCGACGGCGATGAAGCGTGCGACAAGCGCATCCGTTGCGGCCGCCACGGCCGCCGCGACGCAGGTGCATCACCAGACCAGGATCCAGGAGCTGTTTGCTCCCGGACCAACGTCAATGACAGCGTCGATGGCGATGACAATGCCGACGACGTCGATAATGATGATGACGACGACGACGACGATGACGATGACGATGACGACGACGACGATGACGACAACGATGACGACGACGACGACGACGATGACGACGACGACAACGACGACGACGACGATGACGACGACGACGAGCACAAGCATGCACAGCTCTGATGAGCAAGATAAGCAAATCACGACAATATCCTCCTGGCACGAGCCGAAAGGCTCGCCGAAAATCAGTCCCGGAACAGGTGACGACGGCAAGGTCAAGTCCACAGCGATGTCGCGGCTACTAGCCGTCGATTCCGACAACTACATGCTACGCAAAGGCACCGCGACGATGACGACGACGGCAACTATTGGAGCCACGGCTTCACCTTCCGCTACCTCCTCGTCCTCGTGCCCGTCGTCATCGTCAACGTTGAACGGTTCCGCGAGCGTGCAGATGCAACGGCAGATACAGAGCCTCGCTATTGGATCGACCAATGTCCCGCCGATCCTGGCGACGTACAGCAACGGCGGCGACCATGTCGTCGGTCAATTGTACGATGTCGCGCGGGCGACATCCAGATCAGCGGCGACATACGCATCGTCCAGATGGTATACCGCCGGCAATAATAACCAAGCGACGAGGCAGCATTGTGAAGGAGCGGCAGTGACGGTAGCGCAACTCGAGGAGCAGTCCTTACAGCAATCGCAGCTACAATCGCGTACAGCGACTACAACGACGACGACGACGACGACGCTTGCAGCGTCAGTAGACGGCTTCGAGAGCGAGCTCGGTTTCGCGAAGTTGGTGTGCGCGAGACCGGTGTCTTTTCATCGGTATTTGTGTTGGTGCGGCGTGCAGCAGCAGTCCGCCGTGGCGGAGGACATCGACGCGAACTCGATCGGTGGCGGTCGCACGAAGGGTGGCAGGGGCGCAGTTACTCATGAGGGAGAGTTAGCCGCGAGACGAACGATGCGCGATGATAGTAATAGTAGTAATAGTGGTAGTCTATGCTGCTGCATGTGCGGTTCTCTATGTCCCGCAGAGTGCCACGCGTGCTTCCACATCGTGTGCTCGGACTACAGCGGCCAGCATCTGTGCCAATGGACTACCAAGGGTCACGCGTTACCAGGCCAGGTTCACGACAAGAACAAGGTGAGTAGTAAAGTAAATGCTTCCTCGCTGTCAAATAGTTATACGAGCGAACAGCGTGCGTTAGTAATATTTAAATTGTGTTCAAATCCAGTGTTTTTTTTTCCGAAATTTTTTTCGGCATCATTCTTCCGTCAATTTGTACGAGTTTTTCATGTAGAGAAACTAGCCATAATATATATTGTAAATATCTTTGCTGCTTTATTAGTGTGTCATGTGTTATAAAATACACTAACAGACTTGTATATATTTTATGCTGTAAATCAATTTGTCTTGCAATTAGTATCTTTTGCACATAGATATGTTTCATGATATTTTTCGACCGATAGAATTATCTCTGCGCATGCATTATCACAGTTCGATGAAACAAAAGCATACTGAATGAATGAAATCTCTCGCTCACGCTCTTCAAAACAAATACATAGTTATATATTCCTGAACGTTCAAAATTCAAACGTGTCAAAACTAAATCGAAATCAAATATATCAAAACCAAAGTTTGAAAGCTAATATTTTTGATAAGAATTTATTTATAACAACATCATGCAAAAAAAGTCTGATGCAAAATATCTCAATGCGCCATTCTGCATATGAAATGATGACAAGATATAGAATCTTTATCGAGATATGAAATTTTATTTCGTGCATGTTTAATTCTTTCTCTTTATTAACGATCCAATTGAAAGAAATTATTGAAACTTTTTTTATAATAATTTGACGAGACTTTGACATTTTTTCACTTGATTTCAACAGTTGATAGTTTAAACAATTTAAAGAGTATTGGTATAAATTAGCAATTTTGCCTGCCGTACGTTGTTGCGATATAAGGAAGAAGGTAACTATAATATATTCCGATTTTGAATTGTCTTGGTCTTAGTCTAAATATGAAATTTCCATAGCGTGATCATTCACGGAAATCTATCCCGAAAAGTGTCTAGTCGCGAATTTTACATAAATGCGCAAGCGGCATTTCCTTATCAGGGCAAGACCTGCTGCTCGAGACTTGATGGTGTAATGACTTAAATTCGATGACGCTCGGCATGTAATTGAAATAAAAAAATTCTTAAAAGGGATCAAATGTCATCTCTTTTCTTGTGAAAAATTAAATAATTAAAATGTCTAATTACAATTGTACACTTGCTATTAACGCAGTACGAAACAATGCGACGCTAATTAGGAAAGATAACGTTTAAAATCTAGAATCTTTATTGATATCTTGATCGATTCTGCCGAAAATACAAATGGAGAATAAAAAAATGCAGATTAAATGATTTTTCATCTTATGTTACTTAAATCATTTCTCATTCATCTGATCTTATTATTTTATCTTTTATTATTTTTGATGGAATAGATAAAAGTTAAAATTAAATCAATCAAATTAAATATAAGATGCAACAAATTTTCAATCTTTCAACTAATCACAAAACTAAAACAATCTTTTGCAGCTATATACAAAGCAGTATTCTATATGGTTTAGAGATGAATAGATTGAATAGATTAAATCGATTGAATCTTGTGCATTTACGTGTTAATTGTAGCACAGGAGTCGTTATGAAGTATAATACTAGGAAAGTTGAATGAATTGCATGCGAAAATTATTTTTGTGCCATCAAAATTTAAATTTATTGAAATTATAGCGCTTTTAATTCTGTTCGTGATTTAGGGCGAAAGTTCTAACACGAAGAGCGCTAATTATTATAAATTTCTTTTTCGACAAAAGGAATATTTTGATAAAAATGTCATCGCTTGCATGTCACTCTATCACGGCAGGATTTCCGTCGCAGATGATAACTTCCGCGAAATAAGTTCCTCGTAGCGAGCGTCCTAGGTTCGTTGGCGGGATCGAGTCGCAAAAATTTGCAACGTTGACAATTTAATCCACATCGTTCGTGGGATGCAACGCGAGAGGTGGCGCAAAAGGAATGATCTTCCGACGGAGATTAATCAAGCGCGTCGATCGAATGAATGCGCGGATGTACACGCGCCGCTGGCTAGCGTGGATTATTCGGGCGAGGACGACGGACCGAGGGTTTATCACGCGGCTGTCGTCACGATCGCGGACTTGGGGTTACGACGGGAGGTTACATGTTCTTTTTCCTACGCTTTTTATGCTTTTGCTTTATCGGACGGGACCGCGTTACCCGATAGTAATGACCCGCGGCCACATGGAGACGTCTCTTTGCTTCACGTCGCACGGTTTCCTTGCGTTTTACGTCGCGCGCGTCTGATCGCTCGCCGATTTATCTAATCGGACTTGGCCGGTTGCATGGTGCGTTAAAACCGCGGGCTCGTTTAGCACGCCTTATCTTCGGCATCGAAAATCGAAAATTGAGAAACGCTTTTCGCATGCGTAGCTTTTTATGTAATCCGCGACGATCAACATAGCAGATAAAATATACACTCATTTAGAATGAGAAAAAAAAGGGACTAAGAAGAAATGCTTGCTTATAATGATAAATGTCACAAATATGTATGTGTGTGGACAATATATTATTATGCACTTGCGCATTAAATAATAGTTAAGATGAGAGTCATGATTATCAATCATAGAAGATTATATTGCGACAGTGTGTGTATGTATAAGAATATTAAAATCGTAAAATAGTATATCATACACAGTGCGTCGCTTTTGTTACCCATCGAGGACTTAATCGCTCATCGATAATCGAATAACGGTGATCGGTGATATTTAAATTTTCCACTTGATCAATATTGACACGGTAAATTGATAGATTAATTTAGAGTATTTATGCATTGCTTTATCTTTGATATGGATTTCACTTCTTAAACAAATAAATAATTTCTTGACTTGGCGTCATAAAAGAAACTGCAATAAAAATAATTTAAAGAATTGGGGAAAATCTCAGAAGAAATCACAACGGGATTTGATGATTGGAGCGATTTACTTTCCAGCTAAATGATCGTGTATAATGATGTGGAGAGAAATACGATTAGGTGTTTTCTGAGGTGCGCCGTAATAAAGATAGCTTGTACTATAATCAAACCGTAATGTCGAATATGTACACAAAAGCAAATCTAAATGTGTGATTTGATTCAATTTTTTCTTCAAATGTAATTGATATAGTTATTACAGTGGTAATTACGAGAGTTGCCATGAAACTGGCTAGAACTTATAGAAATACGCGAAAGACATCTTAATTAAGAATCGAGAAAGTTGATCTTAATTGTGGCTATATGTTGCTAATAACAAGATTAGTAATTTCATTAGATATCATACTGCAAAGCATCATTTAAGAAGCTACATTATTCGTAAGAATAATTCAGCTGTTAATTATGCCATATTCATATTTTCAAAAATTGTAGTCCAATTAAATTATTCAGTCAAATATAGCCAATCCGTCTATTATTAAGGGGCGAAAGATGGAGTAAAACGTGAATAAATTTGATTCAATTTGAAATCAAGGTTCAGAAAGACTATTCAAAAACTATTCTGACTTTTATTCTTCTACGTAATTGAATGATTAACGAGAAGTGATTATTCCATTTTCCAACCTCTGTGAAGTTGGCACCCCATTTTTAAAAAAATCTAATTTTTTTTTAGAGTTCTGAATGCACCCCAAAGAGTTCTAGAGTTCTCCATAAAATTTATAAATAGTTCCGGCGAATTAGACAAAAAAATCCATTATTGAAAGTATGGGGTGCTAACTTCACAAAACGTTATCACAAAATTGACGATAACAGCTTAATCGTCGGAAATAATTAAACATATTAGAATTATTTGTAGAACTCTTGAGGTGCTACCCAGAACTCCAACGAAAAAATTAAAATTCCAAAAAAATTTTATTCTTATTGGAACTTAGAATATTTTCTTAATCGGTGATACGAAAAATAGCGAGAACTTGTTATATATTGGTTTGAGCGCTTTGAACCTTAATAATTATCGTTAGAACTCTTGAGGTGCTACCCGGAACTCCAATAAAATAATCAAAATTCCAAAAAAATTTCTCACTCTTTGGGACTTCAAAAATTTTCGATCGGTGATACAAAAAATAGCGAGAACTTTTTTGGAATTTTGATTATTTTATTGGAGTTCCGGGTAGCACCTCAAGAGTTCTAACGATAATTATTAAGGTTCAAAACGCTCAGACCAATATATAAAAAGTTCTCGCAATTTTTTGTATCACCAATTGAAAATTTTCTAGGTCAGGAAGAGTGAGAAATTTTTTTGGAATTTTGATTATTTTATTGGAGTTCTGAGTAGCACCTCAAGAGTTCTAACGATAATTATTAAGGTTCAAAGCGCTCAGACCAATATATAACAAGTTCTTGCTATTTTTGTATCACCGATTAAGAAAATATTCTAAGTTCCAATAAGAATAAAATTTTTTGGAATTTTCATTTTTTCGTTGGAGTTCCGGGTAGCACCTCAAGAGTTCTACAAATAATTCTAATGATATTTTTAATTATTTCCGACGATTAAGCTGTTATCGTCAATTTTGTGATAACGTTTTGTGAAGTTAGCACCCCATACTTTCAATAATGGATTTTTTTGTCTAATTCGCCGGAACTATTTATAAATTTTATGGAGAACTCTAGAACTCTTTGGGGTGCATTCAGAACTCTAAAAAAAATTGATTTTTTAAAAAATGGGGTGCCAACTTCACAGAGGTCATTTTCCAATGTGAATCGCCCTACAAGCTGGAATTACAATTTGGAAAGAAATTAATACCTGCATAAATAAAACTAAATTCCAATAAATCGGCAAGTCGTTACTTTCTCGTGAAAATTTTGAGTGTAATAAGCCGCGCGCGCACGCGCGCGCGCGTGTGTGTGTGTGTTTGTTATATTAGCAACCGGGACACTTAAATCTCTCATTATTCATCTCCACTTGGAAAGAATCAATCAAATACATATGTATATGCGTCAAAAAGAACTTTATACGATTCACTGTTAATGATATTCACGGATCGTATTCTCCATATATCCAATATTAATATATTTCTTGTCTATCTTGTATATCTATTCTTCACTGAGATTTTATAACAATTATTTTGAAGAGAAACCAAGTAAATCGCTCTATTTCATCTCGATTTATCTTTTTTGATCTGCACGAATCAATTGAAATGATGACCAATAGTAAATCTTGTAACTGCTGCGTCTTGAAATACACGCGCGCTCGTGCGCGTGTTCTTCGTTGTGTGTAACTTGACTTGACTCGATTAGTGGTCTCTGATTCTCATGCTATCGATGCCCACCTACGATCTACGATCTCGTTTCTCTGTTCGCAGCCCGTCAGTGAATGGACATTATTGAACGTAGTTGAATGGATGTCAGCCCTAAATCTGTACCGCTATGTGGACGTCTTTAAGTCGAAGGGCATCACAGGCAGCGATCTACTTCATTTGGATCAGGAGAAGCTCATGGTAAGTGTTATCTAACTAACAAGATATAAACATAACGGTGGTCTATATAGTCTTGGGATTCTATAGTAATGCCCCTTTAATGGCTTAAATGTCACTCGAATGGAGAAACTTGAAATATATAACAAAATATTTGTTATATGCTATATATAACAAAATATTTGTTATATGCTATTGATATTAAATTATTATAATAAGGATAAATTGTATTTTATTAGTATGTCATTTTTTTATTCTACTTTTATTATAACAATTAGCAATAGCAAGCAAATGATAATAATTCAACGAATAGCCAGATATTTAAATAGAGTAGGGCACATATAGTGGGGTTATTACGATACGTGTTGTTCTTAATTTTTTACTCTTTACAAGATGTTTCATGTATCGATATTTCATGTATGGACACAGCATAACACGTAGCACGTAGCATGTAACAACTAAAGAGACTACTCGTGAAATGAATAAATATGACACTTAGAAATCACGCACTAAAGCAGCTGCCCTTCCAAAAAAGAAAAATTTGTAGTAATAGTCCAAGCGAAAGGAAAGACTAAATAGCATTTTCATTTATCTTTCAACATTTGTTCGTGCTCTTCTAATTACACCGGTAACACGATTTTGACAAAGTTCTATTTTTATCTTGAAACAGTTTTCGATTTTATGAACAATAGTGCACTCTTCTTATTCGTTTCATATAAATTCGTAATCCATCACAGTTGATTATAGAATTTTTCTCGGATTTACTGTAAGGGTTGTAAGGACACTGAGGACATCTTTGTTAATGACAGTCGATTATTTTTTTCTCGATTGGCTAATTACTTCCCATTAGTTGACGGCAATTTAGAGAAGCGCAGTTGTTAAAAACTTGATAGGAAACTTAATTAGCC